GGGGGGGGGGGGGGGGGGGGGGGGGGGGGGGGGGGGGGAGGGGTACTCATTATCGTGCATGCCGTCGTCGTTATACCATTGACCTCGCATCCTTACGAGGCCGGGACGGACTGGGAAGCGGCCTTTCAGTGTCTCTCTGGTACATTATTGTGTAAGGCGACATCGTGAGATGTTTTTGCGTGTGCATTGAAAGTTTATGGCCTGAAGGGATATACACTGAAAGGGGGGCTTGGAGTGTGGATGCCGATGGCATCTTTCGCATGGCCTGCGCTGAGTTCTTGTTCGTTTGGCTCAAATGTTGTTGGTGGCTTGTGCTACTAGGTTTGGAAGGTGGCCGTTGGCTAACTGGCGGCGATTAGAGTGATATTTACGCGCATGGGGTATCGCGGCTTTAACGTCATAAATTATTTGCGGCGTTGGGAAGCAGTCTGCCACAACTAAGGTGTGGCGTGATAACCCGGTGTGTTGTTTTCAAGGACTATTGCTCCTCTGTGGGCAAAGACGTGCAAGGGCTCAGCCCATTGAGAATAGCTCCATCGTGCGGGCTTTGCTTCCCATGTGTAGCATGCCCTTCCATACTCCACGAGTCAGCATGGTTTGTCACAATCGTTGTGGTTGCCATGGTTTGAATAGGTCGGCGTGCAACACGGTGGTACCGAAGCTCGTGGCACAGGACTACGCCCTGTTCGCCAGCCTCCTCAACGGAGTGTTCCCAGGATGCCAGGTGGGTGGTCGCTTTAAGTTGATGCTCCCTGTTCTTACCGATACCTCGACTACTGTTTGCCGCACAACGAGTACGAGTACACGGCAATGTACCGTGTGTTTTGAAACGCGTTCCTAGCAGTGGATGGGCTTTGCGGCAAGTGTGTTTTGATTTCAGAAAGTTGTCCGGCTTCCTCTTGAAACTTGAGGTACCAAAAGCTGCCAGGACCTTTCTCGAAATGCAACGTCCCACAGGGTCTTGATTCATCGGATTTACATCTCTGGTTCGTGTTGTTGGTTTTCAGGTGTCGATGATGACCGAGGAGGGTCTGCGTGAGAAGCTTGAGGTGGTGTGCACGGCGAGACGCCTGCTAATGGGAGAGGCTTGGGTGCAGAAGGTGCTGCAGCTCAAACAGGTGAATTGGATATCCAAAACTACTTTAAGAAGGCAATGGGTTTCGAAGCAACTGAGCATGCCGCACGGTCCGCGTACGCGAATATCGCGTCGCGCGAGCTTCGGAGCCGGTGACGTTTCTCTCCGCCCACCTCCGCGCTGATGGCGCATTGCTTTGGCCTACAGTAGCGGCTACGGTTTAAGAGAACTTATTTAAGAGAAAGTACGGATTTAAGAGAGAGGAATTGGCTTGTACCAATCAAAATCGATTTAAGAGAAATTTCCTATTGCAGCTGGGATTTTTCTCTTAAATCGAACAATATGGAAACCACGTGGACACACACACACATCACACACCCACACAGCTGTAGACACCATGCCCTGCGCGGCGGGCAGTCGCTGCACGGCTGTCCCCGATCACACGCCAGGCCCGCGGGCGTTCACAAATCACCAATGTAGAGGAGTCTGCGGGCAGTACCTCCATGGCACCTGTGGTGTGGTGGACCCTCAGGGCACCTCCGAGGTGCATCGCATCTGCCACAACTGCCTGTCCTCCCGTTGGTTTCTTGGGTTTGTGTTATTTGTACGGCGAGTGATGTTTTGACACTGTGAAGCTCTTTTTTTTTCGTTGACTTGTGTTTTTGTCGGGGGTTTAAATCGATGGGATGAGAGGTATGAGGGTGTTATGTTGAGGGTACGGTGGGAGGAAGGGGTGCATTGTGTAAACGGGTGCGTCGTTCTTGAGTGCTGGTGCATTCGTTGCCTCGTGTTGTCCTTCTAGAAGAGGTGCGACTATGAAACACAGCTATAAAACAACTCAACCAAAAACCTTTTACGTGTCCACGTGCAAAATGTGCATCGCATCACACAACGATGATTTATTTTCCGAACGCAGATCCACCAAAAGCGTACCACGTACAGCAGTACTTGGGTCCACGTGCTTGCCAACCAAGAGAATGAGCGGTGTTTGGAGGTAGCCCGACGTGGTAACGCTAGCTGCGCAAGTGACATGCATGATACGCTCTCTTCATGACCTATTTTGGCATTCGAGTGTAGTCAGTGCGCGAGAGTCCCTGTTTCACGACCTTTAGTTTTGTCTACGATATAAGAGAATATTCTCTTATAGTGAGATACTATTCAAGAGAATTCTCTCTTATACCGTAGCCAACACGATGTAACAGAAAGCCGGATTTAAGAGAGTGAAATTGGCTTGTACCGACCCTCTCTTAAACCGTAGCCGCTACTGTACCTGACCAAGGTGAACAAGAAGGAATTGATTGCTTTGCCACACCTGGTGTATTCCCCACCTCGTCCACAAAAGTTACTATGATATCCTCCCGCTGTAACTCTGCACGCCGCGTTTCAGGTGCTGGAACTCCGGCACGGCGTTATGATGGTCGGGCCCTCCGGCAGCGGCAAGACCAGCGCATGGCGGTGCTTGCTCTCCGCGCTGGAAATGCTGGACGGCGTGAAGGGCGAAGCGCACGTCATCGACCCCAAGGCCATTGGTAAGGCTGTTGCTTTTTGCCTGCTGAATAGCTTGTCCGCACAGCAGGCCATTTGTTCGGTGATTGGGGGCACGACCGCTATTCTCGGCGTTCTAGCCACCTAAATCTATTTGGAGGCGTGTACTTGCTCAGGTCGCGGAACGGTCAGCTCTTGACCGGCATTGGGCGCACAAGTGTCACCGTTTTGTCCCCAGTATCAAGGGTGTCGTCCTTAGGGTTGCTTGCTATCGACTCACGTTGCGGGTGGTGCTGGCTCATTGCTCCTCGGTCTTCCCCTGTACCACGATGTTGTCTGCCACATCGACAGGCAACAAGGCGCTCTACGGCAACTTGGATCCGACCACGCTCGAGTGGACGGATGGCATCTTCACCAAGGTTCTTCGCGAGGTGGGTTATGGGTGCAGTACAACTGTACGGTGCACGTGTGTGTAGCGCTTGTTCTACCGCAGCCATCGGTCGTCAGCTTTGGCCCTCTCCGTAGATGTCCCTCTCTGCACTCTCTGCACCATGCGCTCACAAGAGTGCATCTTTCAGCAGTCACAACATCTCCATCAACTATCTTACCCTTTTTCTTCTCTACCTGCTACACGCTTCCGTCCTTAACACAAAATTCCCCGGCAGGTGCTGACGAACAAGCGCGGCGAGAAGGCTCGTCGGCACTGGATCGTATTCGACGGGGACGTAGACCCGGACTGGGCGGAGAACCTGAACAGCGTTCTCGACGACAACAAAATCCTTACCCTGCCAAGCGGGGAGAGGCTGGAGGTCCCGGACAACGTCCGCATCATGCTTGAAGTAAGCCGTACCACAGCTCGTGGATTCTGCTTGTAGGCGTCATCGGCTTCTTGCAGGCCATTCAGAACCCGATTCACTGTTGTCGCTGTCGTTGTCGGGATCATCAACGACACGTTACCGCAGCTCTTGGATTTCTGCTAGTGGGCGACATTGGCTTCTTGCAAACGCGTGGCCGTTTTGAAGCCGTTTCAGTGGTGTCGCTGGCGTTGTCGGGATCACCGGCAAGATGTTAAAAGAAGCGTTCGGTGTTGTGGTTGCTGTCCGCATACCGAAGATCAAGGGCAACGCTGGCACTCACATGTCCGGGTAGATAGCTTGGCGCGCGGGCCAGCGGCGTTAGCGTCTTGTAAGAACCGGAAATTCCAACAAATCTCGGGGTTGCACATGCTGATATTGCCCCGGTCCGATGCTTTGTTGTTTTGCCAACGGTTTTGCTGGTAAACAGGTGGACAGCTTGCAGTATGCGACGCTTGCCACGGTCTCTCGGTGCGGCATGGTGTGGTTCTCGGCTTCCGAGCAGAATGGGGTCGACTCCGACACCTCGCCCAACCCGGGCACGGTCACGAACGACATGCTTTTGCGCCATAAGGTCGGTGCTGCTTTGCGGGGCTCGGCATGTTGCACGTGTCTGACCGTTTCACTATCGTTTTCGGGCCCTTGCTATTGCGTAGTTTTGCTGAGCTCCAACTATAAGTCGGACGTCGCTCCTGGCCTCGCCCTTTTGTGTGTTTACCACCTTAGCTGTGACAGGCGTCTTTGACCTTTGTGGCAAGGGCGGGCGTCCGCCTGCACATGTCCAGGCTTGCTGAGTGCGCCTGCCTGTGTTTGTGTTACCTTCCCCTTGTTTGCGGTTGCTGAACTCACCCCTCAAAATGTCATGCCCCAAGGCACCTTAGATACGAACACCGACAGCGCGGCACATTATGTGAACTCCCCGCCAGGTTGGAGGACGCATCGCATTACTTACACCTCGCGAGGAATAACCCATTACCATATGCCGGACTACCATGCGACCTGAACCGAAACGTGAACGTGTGGAAGCCGTTTAGCACTTTGCCGAGCTACCGTGTGACCTGTCTTCTCTCGTGCACCGCAACGTTTCCGTGCACGCCTCGCGACGGTGGTGCAGCTCATGCGACTGCGGTCAGACCCGGTATCGCTGCTGGAGGGATCGTCTTCTGCCGTCGGTGTTCCCGGCGGGGAGGCAGCTGGCGGAGGGCAGGGGCTGGCGCCGTCTACAGCTCAGGTACGAACGGGACGTCCAAACATCACACCATATCACACAAGGCCACATCGCACTCTCTTTGCGACGTGCATCACACAAAGCCATATCGCACCCTCTTTGCGGCGTGTTGCGTAGCTGTGATCAGTTGTGGTGTCGAGTTGGGAGACCCAAGCGCTTTCATTTTTGTTCCGCCATGGCGTCGTGGGGTCTCTGTCCGTAGCCCCCTCATTGGGGAACAACGGCCGTTTCTCATTTTGGTTCACTCCGAATTTTCCCGAGCATGTTCGGATGCCCATCGAAGCACACCTCGTTCCTGAAGGCTCCACACCCTATGTCCTTGCAGCTGGACTTCGCCCAAGTGCTGGAGCCGCACTTCCACGCCGCGGGTCCGCTCGTCCCCGGTACGGACGGCGGGAGCTTCGATGATGATCGTCTCTTCCCCGTGGCCCTCGAGCTGGCACTGTCGAGGCCGCAGGTCATGTCCAGCACGAGGGAGCGTCTCGTTGAGAGCGCGTGCTCGCTGCTGGAAAGGGGCGTAGGGCTGGTCTTGGAGTACAACGAGGGACACCCAGATTTCCCTCTCCCCGCGGTGAGTAGGGGAGGCGGGGATTTATGTTGTTCTTCATGAGGTTGGGAAAACCAAAATCGAGAATCAAAGTCGAGAGCTCATTGGCCGAGGTCCAAACAAACACCGTTTCTGGGTTTCCAAATCAAGATCCAGAATCCACACTATTGTTTTCCTGGCCGACAAAGCCCAAAGTATGACTTTGATGTTTGCAAGTTCGATGTGTCGTTAATGCGTGGCGCTATTGCTAGTGCTCATCCTTTCTTGGCCAAGCTCACGCAGGCCGAAGGTGCGACTGACCCATTGCCTGGTCTGAACACCGTAATGTTGTGAAAGTGTTGCGAAGCAGGTTGGTCCGGTGAAGTGTGGTTTTGGCGGCCTAGTGGAAACCGTGGTTTTGCACAGTCAACGTGGCTTTTCCTATTGGGTGGTGCTACTAATTGTGTCGGCACGCTGTTCGTCCTTCGCCGAGTGTCCGGCTGCAGCGATTATGTCAACGAGATGAGCGCTTTGCCATCACAAGCTGCGCTGTTGGTGCCAACTACAACAGTGACACGTCGTCTTGGTGGTGGTTTTGTGCCTTGTGCCGTTGTCCGATCGCTCCAAGGACGTTCTGAGCCGGTTTGCCGTCCGGTGGCTGCTGCACTCTCTCATGTGGGGCCTTGGAGGCAGCATGGACGCCAAGGGGAGAGCAGAACTTGGAGAGGTCTTGATCCACCACTCGGGGTTGGCGCCGCCTGCCGATGGTGCCGACCTCACTTCGCTCCAGGTCCGCCGATCCTTCCCAAATTTCATTTCTTTGCTGGGCCTTTGAAGTACGCCATGTTTTCGTTCTGTCTTTGTCGTTGCACGCACAGCGGAAGGCACACGGTGAACGAAAGGTCAACCAGATATCGTCGTTGCGTGTGCCTTGCGCGGTGTAAACCAACTTGTTTCAACCTGTGCTTTGTGCGACTCAACAATCTCCTCGACTTCGTTTGGCGACAAACTGAAGAGACGAGGTATTGAATACATGAGCGTAACACGTACCTGTTTAATGTTGTGCCATCCTCGGTTATAGGTCCGAGTGGAGGACGGCGAGTGGTGGGCGTGGTCGGATTCGGTTCCTAAGACACAGCTCGAGCCACACCGCATCGTCAGCTCGGATGTCGTCATTACCACCACGGACACCGTAAGGTGAGAAAACGACAGACATGCCGGCATGCGATAAGGTACTAGCGAGGTATGCCGCAGTGAGCGGACATGGACTCGATGTATGTTCTCTCTATGGTACTTGTTGAGCTGACAAGTGTCATGGCGTTTGTGCCCTTCAACGTAACGTCTATCTTTGTCTTTTGGTTACTGTAGGACCCACGTAGACGTTACTTTCCTCTCCGCCCAAAGTCTCGACGTCGGTTGTACAAAATTCAAAAATTCGTTTGTTTATCGATTCATCGTCGAGATCATTCTCACTGACATTTCTTTGAATATATCCGCGCAAGTGCGTCCGTATTGGGTCCATGTACCGAGTGTGTCCGTTGTTGATGGTTATGCCTATCTTTGCGAACGTGTCCGTTTTCCGCCCCCCACAGGCATGTGGAGGTGCTCAAGGCGTGGCTGGCTTCCCACAAGCCCCTCATCCTCTGCGGACCACCCGGCTCGGGCAAGACGATGACGCTCACGTCGACTCTGCAGGCCATGCCGAACCTTGTCCTGGCTAGCCTCAACTTCTCGAGCTCTACCGACCCAAACCTGATCCTGCAGGTGGCCCCAAGACAACTCCCCTTTCCTGCTTTGGAGTCGAAGGACGGATTCTGATGCGGAGATATTTTCGTTAAAGTTTGGAGTTGAACTGATTTGAAGTCGCAAACTGTCTCTTTCGTCTTGAGTCTTCATGGGGCAGGATGGTTGGATAGGCCTAGCGGGGGTTGTATTTCATGGCCGTCGTTGAACCGAAGAAGGCATCTGGCGCAGATTTGCAACGCAAGCCTCGGCGAGGGCACTTTCCCCCAAGTCCATCTCAACCAATCTTGTTGTACTTCGTCAGTTCCATAACCAGCGAAGTGAAAGCGATCCTGCGGACGAATCTCAGATTCGAAATTCTGGTACCCGATCGCACAGGCTACACGGTGTGTTGCCTACATCCACACGAACGCTGGAACGGTTTCATGCCGTTGTTAACTCTCTGCAGGCTTTCCAGCAGCACTGCGAATACGTGCGTACTCCCCGCGGGGTGGTTCTGCAGCCGATGGCCTCTTTGGGCTTGGGCAAGTGGCTAGTCATCTTCTGCGACGAAATAAACTTGCCGTCTCAGGTACGCTTCTGCAGGCACGGCTGTGCGACGCTGCGAATGCTGTCGTTCCTTCCATCAATAGCCATGCCGTGTGGCCTAGTGTAACCTGCGCCTGAAGTATACTAATCCATAACTATTCCGTGCAAGGCTTGAAGCCTGTCGTAGAGGCCACTGCAGGTTGCCTTGGTGAAAGGAGCATGAACAATTATGTCATCCATGTCGCTGTTGTGGTTTGTTTTCCAATGCAGGACAAGTATGGCACACAGCGGGTGGTGTCTTTCCTGCGGCAGCTGACGGAGCAGGGTGGGTTCTGGCGGGCGAGCGACAAGACCTGGGTCAAGCTGAATCGGGTCCAGTTTGTCGGAGCCTGCAACCCCCCTACGGACGCAGGTGTGTTGTGATTGTTGTCTCCTCCTGGACTTGAAACAGCGCGAGTTATCAATGCCATTATCACGAACAAAGGCGGCGGACGCGGGGGGCTGCCGCCCCGCCTGTCCTCCGTTCGAGAGTGGATATGCATGCGAAACGGTAAATGTGAGGTATGGCAGTTGCGGGCTTCAAACGCAGTACCCAAGTGAGACAGTGGTTCGTTGAGGTGGTGGTGTACAGCAGAAGAAAATAATTCCATTGTAGAAGATGCCGGTTCTTAGGCGGGAGAAGCGTGCGTCATCATCTGAAACTGCATTTGATTGTTGAACATTGCGTTGTAGCTGGGCGCACACATGTATTTGTGTGAACCTGTCTTTAAGTGTGGCTTGAACCATAGCTAAAGCCGTGAGACTACAGCGACAGCAGTAGTATTGTTTGGCACACACATACGCACCGTCGTCCTTCCTGGAGCAGAGGCATCCTGCAGTTCACGAGAGAGATGTGTTACAGGAGCCAGTTTTTTTTGTCAGAATGCCGAAAGTTGCCGTCTTCTCATTTTCGCAAGAGATGTTTGCCCGCTTGCCCGCACGCACGTGCATCCAGGTGTAGCGTTACAGTGTTACAGCATTGGTATCAGAAAACAGTCCACACAACACACCATGGCTCAATGCTTCATGCACCATCGCTTGCGAGCACAAAAGGTGGGCACCTCTCGACGTACAAACACGCAGGGTTTTAGCTAGATACCTGCAAGATACACTACTTGAAGTTCTCCGAAGCACGGAAAGAAAAAGAAATGACAATGGACAAAAGCAGAAATCGTATTGGCAGAGTTCTGCCCGAAGTGGTTTGAGGGGCAGATGTAGATGCAAAAACCTCGTTTGGAGCGGTTTCGACGATGCAGGCAGGTCGGCCGGCGCTCAGCGCCGGGAGCCCGCGGCGGCGGGGTCTTGTGGAGAGGGGGCGTCACCGGGGCGCCGCGAAGAGGGAGGCCGAACGGCGCCCGCTGCGGCGCCAGCCGCGCTCTCGAGTTTTCGTGTCGATTTGAGATTAGACCAAAAAAATCCCCCCGCTTCGCTGTGAGTGGCGTTGTAAGGCTGCATTACCCAAGTCAAGCTTGAGCTAAACTTCCCTACTACCTCTTATGATAGACACGCGATATTTCTGAACACCAACAGTGGATGTTTCACATGGGTTGGAGAGGATAATTTCCTGTTCGTGTTTTTCTTTCTCGCGTTGCACCTGGGTGCCTGTTCCCTGTCTCTAGGGGCCTCTCCGTCCAATAGTGTGTACGTCTGACATATTCATTGGTAACGGTTGCCAAAATAGACTGTAACGCGATACTCGAGGCTTTTCGAGATTCAGCCCGGCCTGTGGCGACGCGTGTTGACTCACGAATACGTTGGTCTCGTCTTGATGGGCGCGCAGGTCGGCAAGTCTTGCCGCCTCGGTTCCTTCGGCATGCCCCTCTCCTCTTCGTCGACTCCCCGGCTCGAGAAAGCCTTGAGCAAATCTACGGGGCCTTCAACTCGGCGCTGCTCAAGCTGCACCCGCCGCTCAGGGGCCACCTGGACGGCCTGACGAACGCCATGATAGAGTTCTATCACCTCAACCAGGTATGGTACCACTTGCAGTTGTTTGTGCCCCCCTCCCTCCCCTCGTGTGCGACCAATTTCGGCGATGCAGTCACTGGGGCTTTGCTGTCCTGTTCTGTAGCGCAAGTGTGATATATGTTGGAATCTTCTTCGTCTTTGCCATCAGAGTGAAAATAAGTGCATGAACGCACCGTGGAAATGCTATTCTGAGGATATGCCACCTTCTTTGTCTTCCGCTTTGGCCCTGACGTCCTCGCTCGGACCTGGCGCACCTGTTAATTCGGCTTGTAACGCGCGTACAGGCCAAGTTTACCGCCGATCAACATCCACAATACATCTACTCTCCCAGAGAGCTGTCCCGATGGGTGCGAGCCCTGTACGAAGCAATGAATCCCCTGGATGCCATGACTCTGGACGAGCTGGTGAGACTGTGGGCGAACGAGGCGCTGAGGTTGTTCCACGACAGGCTGGTCACGCAGGAGGAGCAGGACTGGTGCCAGGAGAAGGTAGGGCGGCGCTGTTGCGGACAGGGTTGCAATATCGTGTTTTGTGGGCGCGGATATTGATGCCTAACCCAACCCTTTCCCGAAGCCCGGAGACGGGGTCATCGGTTGGATGTTGGGAGGACGTTCACGAATGACGACTCATGCTGATTCGGATGGATGAAGACAGAATCTTGCGATCTGCCCGAGGCTTGCAGCACCGCACTGTCTTACCCGCTCTCTGGCAACTCGACGCTTCCGGTTCCTTGTTTTGTCAAGGTCGACGAGGTTGCGAAGAAACACTTCCCTGGAGTCTACTCGGCGTTGAAGAGGCCTCTTCTCTACAGCTCGTGGCTGTCCAAGGTAATATGCTGCTGCACAGGAAAAGCCCTAACGTTGTCCACTACTTGATGACGGGTCATGTATCGAAGCGCAAGCGGGGGGTATGGAAGTCCATGGCTGTGCGGTGCCGTTGGTGCTCTGCGGCGTAAAGTAGTCCCATACCCATCTCATCATTCGGGGCATCATACGCAAGACTCCGGCATTAACAGATACAGCGTCTAGTCGTTGTCGCTCAAGCAGTCACGGCTGCCGTCCCCTACTTCACCTACTTCACCTTCTCCTGTCAGGACTACACGAGTGTCAAGCAAGAAGACCTGCGGCAGTTCTTGCTGGCCCGACTGCGCATCTTCTACGAGGAAGAGCTCGACGTCCCCCTCGTCCTGTAAGTTTCTCCATCCTTTAGATAATCCGATCGTTTTCGTTGCTGTTGCCGATTGTTTTTGTTGCTGCTAATTTGAATCTTGCGGGACCTTGGACGAAGGTGGCCATGCTCGTTTGCAGTAACATCTACGGACGGTAGCATAGCCGATAGTATGTTGAGTGTTGTCGAAGCGGAGTGTCGACTTTGGGGGAACTCGATGGTTCGCAAGTTCGTCCTAGGGTTTGTGGTGTAGGTTGGGTTCATGTTGGGTAATCCCCTGCGCTACTGTGTGTTGGCCCTCGTATTCGACGGGCAGGTTCGATGGGGTTCTCGAGCACGTGCTGCGTATCGATCGGGTGCTACGCCAGCCGATGGGCCACCTGCTGCTAGTTGGAGAAGCGGGTGCGGGGAAGACGGTGTTGAGCCGCTTCGTGAGCTGGATGAACGGCCTCGCCATCTTCCAGGCGAGTCGGGTTGATCGGGTTGGTGGAGAAAATATATTCTGTTGTTTTTTTCCCTAACTCTACGGTCGTTGGGCCAGTCACCATGTGCTCACATGGAAGCAAAGAGCTCATCAACACGTGACGTACGTCTTCGCTCCGTTCTTACTGAAGTGTGAATCCCCCCATGACACTCTTTGCACTCAATTGGCCCAAACGTTGCTGTTTCTGATTCGCACAGCAGTTGGCTATATAGTGTATCGCATAGCAGTTCATGGAGCACCATTCATGTACGTTCACGTCCCCAAACTATCACATGATCAACTCGCCTTACAAGCGTCGGAACGCTTCTCTTTTTCCTTGAACAGGTGAAAGCCAGCAACCGGTACACGCTGGAGCACTTCGACCAAGACCTCCGGTCGGTGATGTGGCGTGTCGGCGTGCAGGGCGAGCAAGTGTGTTTCATCTTCGACGAGAGTAACGTCCTGTCTCCGGCCTTCCTGGAAAGGTAACGCGCCACCTAGTGGCTTGCGGTACCGCACGTGTAGGCTGCACGTTGTCGTGTCAGGCGGAACGTTCACGTTGCACATGAGATTTGGGCGCCGTCGCCTGGACGTCTTCACGCCTTGCTCCGCTTTTCCTCATCAGTACCCTCATGAGTTTGACACGTTCCGATTAGTCTCCGGGAGGCCTGTCGACCAATTTTTGCGTTCCCCTCGTCGGCAGAAAACGATCTTATGCGTTTTGACGCTTTTTCCCTGCTATCCTTGGATCAAGATCAAGACAGGCTATATGTACCAGACTCGCCAGAATCCGCTCTCGAAGTCTACCTCTACTATCGTGGCCAGCAGTAGCTCCCGCCACATGCCTAATCAATTCCTACGAGGCCAGTCTCTCGGCAATCAATACGTCTCTCACCGTCCCCGCTCGGTCTCGTCTCCCATCCCCCCCTGCGTGGCGAAATCGTACCATCAACCTTTGCCGATAGGATGAACGCCCTCTTGGCCTCAGGGGAGGTGCCTGGGCTGTACGAGGGTAAAGAGCTGACGGCCCTCATGGCGGGGTGCCGCGAGGCTGCCCAGAGGGACGGAGTGCTGGTAGACTCGGAGGATGAGCTCTTCCGACGGTTCACCACGAAGGTGCTCACACGCTGAATCGCGACTCGTCCCGCCGCAGATGACCAACTATAGCAGTTGCACCTGCCAGGTTCTGTTGGGTGTGAGACCTGTGTTCGCTTTTTTATTGTTTAGACGGTTTGGCGGCAATATGTGCTGTCGGGCTGCGGAGCTTCTTTTTTTTTCGTGTGGCGACGCAGTTGCATTTCTTGCGACGATATTCTAAAGTGCTCCCACTATGTAAATTGCCTGACGGGTTCGAGCCGTTCACCCTAGCTCGCCTGCACCTGTGGCGTACAGGGATGTTGATGTGATGTCGTCTCTTCCGTCCATTGCATTCTTATGAAGGTACAACGAGGGCTCCACGTGGTTTTCACGATGAATCCAGCGAGCGATGGCTTTGCGGGCCGCTGTGCCACCTCCCCGGCCCTGTTCAACAGATGCGTCGTCGATTGGTTCGGCACGTGGCCCACCAAGGCTCTGGCGCAGGTGAGAACTTGTTTCGGAGAGACTCGCATCCACCCTCGGTGTGGTTGATCGCTGGATTGGATTTGGTGGATGGCGGCTGCTTTCTGCCTTCGTGCTTCGCCTTTATAGGATATGTAAGAATGTGAGGATTATTGTAGGGGTAGCGCGCCCCTTTCTGCTCCCCCCGCTGAGGGGTTTCCGTGTTGGATGGGGCTTGTTTGTGACATCATGTTTGTCCCTCAATTCTTGCATCAAAGGTTGGGTACGAGTTCACGTCTCACGTGGACACAGGCACGTCGGAGTGGGACATCGACGAGGCGCACCCCCTAATGGAGGCCTTGGACGGGCTGTTGGCAGCGGGCGGAGAGATGCCCAGGCGTGCGCTCGTGGCTGCTCTCGTCGGCGTGCACGGGTGAGACAAGGCGAAAGTCCCTGTGGCATGGCAAAAGCTCCGCACTCGTCGATGCCAAACTTGGCTCAAGAATCTGGGGTGCTCGATGAGGGTGGTCACGCTTTTTTCTGAGGCATTCCCGGGCGACAGGGCTTTTGGCCGCTGCTGCTTGGGATGCCACTCGTAACTCCATGTTACTGATGGGGTATTTGTCATTTTTCTCGCAATGCGTATGTAGACAAACGAGGTTATACTCTTGTTTCGCGTGTAAAAATGAATATGCACGTTGCTTGGTTACGGTCGCAATAATTCCAGACTCGATGACCTTACTGTTGCAAAACACCCCACTGTTTGTTCCCTGTGCAAGGCAACAGCAGAGAAAGCAATAAGCACACGACAGGTCGATTCTGAATGCCATCTGTCCCCTCAAATATTGCTCCAAATATACTCATTGGAAGTTGACCAATTCTATTTACGCTAGGGTGTTCCTGTAGCACATACAGCTGATTGTTGAGGATGGATCGTGGCTTAGGCTAGGTCGCTTTTTGCCTGCACGGTACGCGCCAATGATGCACTTCGGATGCTTGATGGCAGTATTCCACCCTTGTTTTTGCTGTGCTGTGCTGTGCTGTGCTGCGATTCCAGGAGCGTGAAGGAACAGTCTGCAAACCCTCCTGTGCACTCTTCGGCGGTGCGGCACTACGTCTCCCCCAGAGATTTCCTTGGTCTCATCCGTGCCTTCGTGGCCCTCGTTAATGAGAAACGGGCAGAGCTTGAGGACCAGCAGGTAACATCTTTATAACATGTATAGGTGCTGTTGGATGAGATGGCCGTTGGGGTGAAACGATCGTGCTCGGTTTTTGCTGGAACAGCGCTGTTGCTCTTGCATTGCTCATGCAGCCCATGGGTAAGAATGTGGCGCGTGTGTCACCTGAAGCAGCTGGGATTCTGATACAAAACAGATCCTTGCGCATAGTCGGGAAGATTGAAGTTGGCAGATACACCCGCTGGCTCCGCAACGCGTCGGTGATGGAAGGCCGATCGCCATCGACGTGTCACTGTATCCACCGGTCATGCTGGGGCACGGTAACAAATGGAATGCTCTGTACATGGTGGCACATGCATCGCGTTGCTTGCAGCTGCACATCAACCTCGGGCTGAACAAGCTGAGAGAGACGCAGGCCGGTGTGGAGGACATGCAAAAGGGGCTGGCTGAGAAGGAGAGGCGCCTCAGGTGAGATGTACTCTGCATGCATCAAGCTGCCGCGGAATCCTAACAAGTACGTGGGAGCTTCGTCACAGCAGTGCCGGTGAGAAGGCATGGTGACTGGTTTCCCTCAAGACCATTCGCCCTCATTTTGGACGCTGGCGCAGATGCAAGAATGTGTTGGCGAAGCAATCCTGCACTATTACCTTGTTTTTGCCGTATATGCCGGCCGACGCGTGGTGTTGCTTGCGTTGATCGAACGGCATCACTGCTACTCGTTCCATTTTGTTACCGCCACCGCCGTGTAGCAATTCGCTGATGCTTTTTAGTGCCGTTGGTTTTTTTTCCTTAGGGAGAAGGACGAACTGGCCAACGCCAAGCTGCAGCAAATGGTGTCCGGACAGAACGAGGCTGAGAGGCGCAAGGGCGAAGCGGAGATCCTCAGCAAGGACTTGCAGCAACAGAACGACCGCATCGCGCAGAGGCGACACCAGGTCAGGGACTCAGCACTGTTCTTGTTATATCGAATAGACTATGCTTTCAATGGGTATTACCCGGCAAGTGGTTTCGATCCTTGGACAACAGTCATTTCCGTGAACTGTGTCCAGCGGCTTGAACCATTTTGCCGCTCTTTCGTTTTTTCCCTTTGGTTTGCTCCGAGGTTAGGCGGAGACGGAGCTCTCAGAGGCCGAGCCAGCCCTGCTATCTGCCCAGAGCAGTGTGCGTAGCATCAAGAAGCCACAGCTGGACGAGATCCGCACGCTGACACGGTAGGTACTGCGTCGCTTTCGCGCAACCCGAGCCACGTGTTGAAGAGTCCGTTGTACAACGGTGGAGCGTTTCGTGTGGATATGTATTATTGGAGTGTGGTTTCCACCCTATCGATAACCTGCCCCGGCCACCTTAGTGGCAACAGTCCATTACTACAGTACTACTCGATGCCATCGAACTCCATTACCGCCTCCGCGCTTGATTGTTTCTCATATTCGTTTCGAATGTATTGTCCTTACCTGCGTCGATGCCTCTTTTTCCAGCCCCCCACCTGCTGTGCAAACGGTTCTCACGGCCGTGGCCATCATGCTGGGACATCAGGAACCGACTTGGTCCGAAGTACGCCGGGTAAGCAAGGCCTGTTTGGTTGCTTTCGTCGCGATTGGCTACCCAGTTGGCGAAGGGAGCAGCTGACATCGACCTCTGTGCTGCGGGGTGCCGCCGGTATCAATGTTGTCCCCATTGGCTAACTCTTTTGCCATCCAGAAACTCTGCCACTCGATGATGTGGTTGCCTTTCTATCTGTTTGCCAACCCCCTTTTCCCGTGCCACATCTATCGGTGCTTGTATTGAATTGCTGTACACCTCGGTGCTCCGTGTCAGGAGCACCCAGTATGCCTTTGCCGTACCTTGAAGAGCGTTGTCTTGGATGCCCTTGCAGGTGATCAGCAAGGCAGATTTCATCGCCACCGTGGTTAACTTCGACACGGACTCGTTGACGAACCCGGTCATCAAGACGGTGGAAGACGTCTTCAAGGCTGCTGGCGACCTTACCGCTGACTCCGTCACCAGGGCCTCCAAGGCCTGCGGACCGCTCTACAACGTACGTTGCCCGCACCACCGATGGCACTTGTTTTTTAGCATAACAGAGGAGTAGGGTCACCGCGACCGGTAGTTAACAATGGCATATAGCCCGAACCGTCATTTTTTTTGTAGTTTCACACAGGTACCTTTCGCACGTGACGAAACAGGTGGGGTATAGAGCTTTCGCGAAACGTCGACTGTAAGTTTCGTGAAGTAATTTCATCGAATGTAGCTGTGACAACAGAGGAACGATGTGTTTGCATGCCACCTTGAATCAGTTGTCATCTTACCTCTCTTCACAAGATGAACGACTCTCGATTCACGTCTAACGTTCGTTGCGCTTTGCCCGGTCTTCCCGCGCGTTTGCTTCCTCCAGTGGGTGCACTCTCAGATAAACTTCAGCCGCATCGCCATCATGGTGCAGCCTCTCAAGGACGAGATCGTGGCCCTGCAACTAGAGAGCGACAAGGCTACGCAGCAGATGAGCGTCATCGAGACCCAGATAGACGAGCTCCAGGAAAGCATCGCCAGGTATTACCGCTGTTGCCAGCATCAGTACCTCCACCAATGTAGAGGGCCATTCGAGCTGCGTAATCAGTCGTCATTACTGTACCGGTGACCATCGCGGCGAGCTCTTCCGGATCTCTCGGGGTCAACTGAGTATGTTGTGGGACCCACGTCTGTTCACACGGCAATATGTGACGCGATACGTAGAATCTCCATTCACACATGTTGCGTCAAAATACCCTCCGTCTGTTAATTCCGAATGAAAACTTGGCGCGATACGTATGATCCCCACTTCCGAAACGCACTTTTTTGTGTGTCAACAGACCTTTCATTCCGAAACAAAAAAATGCGATCCGATCGGCTGGCGTGCGTGTCTGGTGGTGTTCTATCACAGGTACAAGGAGGAGTACGCGGAGGCCATCAGGGAGATTGAGGCGGTCAAGTCTGAGATGGAAGCCGTCAAGCAGAAGGCGAGCAAAAGTAGTCCACCGTGTGGTATGTCCCCGCTCGCACTTGCCTTTCAACCTCGTGTGACTTCTATGAGAGCTGCTGCCGCTAGTGTACTGCTCGGGCGTTGCAGCGTTCTCGCACGTGGCTCATATCGGCACTGTTTGCCGTAAGACCTGGGCAAGACCCACGCCTGTTCCGTGTAAGGTGGTGTAGCATGTAGTGGCTGCGCAAACGGGTACACGACTTAATCCGAAATCCAAGTGCGAGGGCGCGTGCAATGATTCGCTTCGTGGTCGTCGTTTTTTTGGGCAGGTTCTTTTGTTCTGGCCTATGCTTGCCGTGTTGGCTGCTATGTGTTGCGAATGTTTCGGATCCTTTGTTGTGCTGCGCAGGTTACCCGAGCGGAAGCTCTCCTGAGGAACCTGGAGCAGGAGCGCGACCGCTGGAGCCTGTCGTCCGAGAGCTTCACCAAGCAGCTGGAGTCCCTCATCGGCGACGGTCTCCTCGCCGCGGCATTCGTCACATACGTCGGAGTGTTTGACTACCGCACCAGAAAGGTTTGACTTGATTTCAGGGCAATGACGTCGTCTCGACGCAGGCCGCAGTGTGCGTATTTACGAGGGAGTGTTTCGGCCATGTATTCTTCGTGTTTTTCCTTCTAGCATACCAGTACTTTTCTTCTCTCTTTTTTTTTTTTTACAGCCAGGTATATTTTCATGGGGCAAGACTTTCGAGACTGAGCACAACCCATGGGCAGGCGGAAAAATATTCGGCAGCGGATCGTCTATTATGTGAGGCATACGACCACCTCTCGTTTTGTAACGAAAAAGGGCCATACGTGACGTTGATGATCCTGTTCAACGCCCGCCCGCCATTGGTTTTTGACGCAGTCTCTTCTTGCGGAGTGGCGTATGATCCTCACCGACATCGGGGTACCTTTCCGCCAAGAGCTGTCGCTAAGGCAGTACCTCAGTACGGCCAAACAAAGGCTGGAGTGGCAGGTGAAGTCTTGTTTTGATTTATTTTAGCTAGTTGAATAGCCGTAAGGAGTGGGTCAGTCGCGTCTTCTTGGGGTTGGCACTGTTTACTGCGTGTTTTCCAGAATTCCGTCCAAATATGGGAATGTTGAAGCTTACAAAATGTTTGACCCGGGCTGGCATTGATGGGCATTTAGTACGGCCCGGCTGTGAACACTATGACGAAAGTAAGGCTGACAGCAACGTGATGTCTGACGGCTCGTTGTTCTGGTCGAATGCGGTGCAGGGAATGGGACTGCCTGCGGACGACCTGTGTCTGGAGAACGCGGTGGTGCTGGAAAGGTTCAGCCACAGATTCCCACTTGTGGTCGATCCCGCCGGTCAGGCCACCCATTTCCTCCTCAACAAGTACAAGGTACTGCATCATCTCTGTCGTCGGTCGTCGAGTTCTTGATTCTTTGACTCTCTGTATCGGGTCGGAAAAGACTCGAGTAAGTCCATTATCCAGCAGGTGTCCCTCAACCCTCACTGGAAAGACTCAACACGTCCCTTCGAAAGGAGATTTATGTCGCGGGTAGCACTCCTCTTTGATGTTGTCCATGTTTTCCTAAACGGTGTTGATGAAGTTGAGACCTGCAGAATTGGGGGTAAGCTCTTGGGTTCCTTTACTAACTCGTTGCGCCTCTCGATATCGGCGGAGGAAGGCCTGTTTCCGATGCTGTCCGTACTAACGCCCCCATGCAGAGATGCGATGTGTTGACAATTGCATGGTGTTGACTATGGTGTTGCAGGAGCGGAAGATTGCCACCACCTCCTTCCTGGACGCGTCCTTCATGAAGACGCTTGCGAGCGCCATCCGCTTCGGCACTCCCTTGCTCGTCCAGGTACTGGTGCCTGCCTGTGGAATTCACGTAACGCCATGTTTCGCTTCATCACCCTGGATTTCGGCTTGCGGTGCTGGTGTTGAGTAGGAGACAGCAGCGTTACCGAGGACTAAACGTGTGTGTCACTGTGGCCCCCGTGACTTGCCAGGACGTGGAGACAGTCGACCCGGTGCTCAACCCGCTCCTCAACCGCGAGCTGCAGCGGACGGGTGGCCGTACGCTCATCCGCCTGGGCGCCGAGGACATTGACTACAGCCCCGACTTCCTGCTGCTGCTGGTCACGAGGAACCCGGGGGCGCGATTCGCCCCTGACCTGTGCTCAAGGGTGACAATTGTCAACTTCACCGTCACTCCTGCGAGCCTGCATAGTCAGGTGTGTCTTAGTCTGCTCCAGGAGCATGATTGGAAGTCCTGCTGTTGTACTCAGAAGGGGTAGCGACAGTTTGAAGGCAGTGTCGGTAGATGTGAACTGGAAAGGGGAGTCAGAACCGCTTGCTACACGCACGTGTGCGATATGCCATCCAACCTTTTGTCTGTTTTCGTTGAATGTGCATATATTTCGCGTGCCGTCGAGTGTTGCTGCCGCTACCCTCGGGTGCTGCATGCGACAGCAGTGTGCGTTTCTGCACGCAAAGTGCTGGACTTCGCTCGTTTCACTTTTTTGAGGTAACCACATGTTTGCGACGCAACTCGGCGGATCCGGCGTGGTCCTTTTGCCTGCGCCCCTCGCGTCCCCATGTTGCTGCAACGTTAGTCTGCGCAGCGCAGCCCGGCGAATCATTACGCAACATCGTGTTAAAACGTTGACCTTGCAAATCGTTGCTGCGGCAGGCGCTCGGATCCCTGTTGAGATCGGAACGGCCCGACGTGGAGCAGCGGAGAACTCAGATGTTGCAACTTCAGGGCGAGCAGAGCGTCAAGGTACAGTGCGCCTATGTGTCACGAAAAAGTTAGTCTCGTCCTCCTGCTTTTGTGTAATCGTTAGATTTGTCGAGTGTGTCTGCATTACCGTGCTGTAGTTTGAGCAGCTCATTTTGGTGTCCCATGTTGGGGAGTTTGACACACCGATACTCATGTCAGCACCCGCGGTGGTCACACGGTGTTTCTTTCGACGACACGCCGGCACTGCTCGCCCGCAGCAGAACCAACACCTGTGCCGTGCCCGCACATGGCGCACAAAGCTGCATCGCAGTAGAGAGCGGACTGCAGGCGCAAGGTGCTCTCCATCTAGTTGTGGCATTCTCTTATGTCTTCACCATGGTGGCCTTGTCTTGTGCTTTGCAGCTCCGTCAGCTGGAGGAGCGTCTTCTGGACACGATCAGCGCAGTGGAGGGTACGATCCTTGACGACGACACGGTAGTGAAGGCCCTCGAAGACCTCAAGGGCGAAGCGGGAGACGTTGCCAAGGAGGTGAGAAGAAGAGAGAACGACTACAGTCCCCTCCTGTTGCGTTTGAACTTGGTCCACCATTGTGTGATGAAAGGAGCGACAAGAGTCTCGTGACGTAGGGTGCTCGCCTGTTGGTGGTACGATTATGTTTGTTCTTGAAAGTCTTGCCCCTTACACCGCTTTTCGTGGCTGCAGAATGTTGCGAAACAAAAGTGCAAGCTTTGCAACTTGTCTCGCAACCTTCGTAATGTACGCTCAGTACGGGAGCAAAAAGTTGCGCAAAAGTTTTGAAATTTTTTCTCGGCAGCAAAAAGTTGCAATACGGAGGAAACGTTCTGCAACTTTTGTCGCGATGAAGGTGTCGGAACAAAAGTTGCGAGGCGCAACTTCCGCCAATCCACGCCAAGCTGCCACTACCACTCATGTAGACTCCTCTCCAGCTTGGATTGTGTGAAGGCCGTGATCACCGACATGTCGACAAATACTTAACGAGTTGCCTCGTGAATGGTATCTGGAAGGAGGTGATGCCATGGGCTGTTGGGTAGTGCCAAGGTTTGGGGCCGTGAGGTGCCGAATGCGCCGGAAAAAAAATTGTTCTTAGCACGACCGTCAACGGCCGCGAGCGGTTAGACCACTTTCGGTGTTTTTGACCGCTACGGGTTTGGTTATCCACCGATAACTTTCCGAAGTAGGAAGCAACAGCAATAGCAAGGCCAATCGGCGGAAGGTAGCTCTCTGTTCCATCTTTCATGCCCAAGGTTTGGTGCCGTGGGGTATCGTGCGCGTCGGAAAACAAGTTTTGATTGACCCCATAATACCCACGTCAGAGAGCAGTTGGTTCAAGTTCGCAGGGAGTGTATGCTCATGGTTTGGTTTTCCAGCGAGATCTTTTCGAAGGAGGAGGCAGCAGCAACAGCAATGCCACCCCGAGGGAGCTAGCTCTGCCCAGCATCTTTCTGGTTTCAGTTTAGATGCCTTGGGGAATCGCGCGTGTAGAGAGTTGCAACTACCTTCTCCCGCACGCTCTGGCCGTTTTTTCCGCGGTGCAACATGAAAGGTGCGTGCCTTCTTCTCGCCGTTGCTAAGAAAAAATATCACGCTTCCGCATTACGCCAGTCCCGTGCACAATACCTTCTTCGTCCCATAATGAGCGTGCACCGCAAGTGTTCCTGACAAAAGTTCCCGAGCAAAGTTGCAGAAAAAGTTTGCAACGTTTTTTGCAACATTCTCCAGCCATAAAAAGCGGTGTTACCGCCATCTAAAGAATGTCGACCGATATATCTGTTGTCGCCATTTGGGGTTCATTGTTCCAATCGGGTGCTTCTGCTGCAGGTGGAGCACACTCGCGATGTGATGTCAGAGGTGGAGGCTGTCTCGAACCAGTACGAGGCCTTGGCCGTGTCGTGCAGCCAGCTGTACTTCGCGCTCGAGACGCTAAGGGACGTTCACTTCCTTTATCACTTCTCGCTGAGGTTCTTCCAAGACATTCTGGCCCAGGTGCGTTTGAAGACGGTGTATTTTGGCGAGGCACATGACGCATGCTCGTGGCTTAAACACGGTGACGGAACCGTTGTGCGGGAAAGAAAACCACCACAGCGGGTTCATGGTGTTGCGGGACCTCCCATGTTTGAGATGATGCCGTGGAGATTTCTTCCTTTTTCGACTGTCGCGTATGAGCATGTTGCCATGGCTCGTAGATCAGTCCAGCAGCATAGTGATGGCGTTTGTGTGGGCGTAAAGTCGAAGTCGTGGTGACGATTCACGCAGGCGGTTTTCGCGCCTCTGAATGCTGCAGGCTCCGCAGGCAATAATAGCCTTAAGTGTGGTTGATCTCTTTGTTCATCTTTTCGGCGTCGGGTCGGCTGCGGATGTCCCTTACCCTCTTGCAGGTCCTTGCCAGCTCCAAGCAGAGTACCAAGGCAATGGTGGCGTCGTCCAGCGGCAAAGTAGACGCCACGACCAGACTCGCCATCCTCAAGGCCCGGCTTTTCCGTGCGGTGTGCAAGAGGGTCTGCAAGGGCCTTCTCAACAAGGACCGCCTGCTTTTCGCTCTCAGGCTCGCCCAGGTGACCGCAAAAAGCACCAAAGTCATTCAAACTGGTTCTAAATTCCCTTTGTCGTGCCATCCGTCAACGTCCTGCGTACGTTTATCTTTTCGCGCCATATTGAAGTCATGGACAGTGCTACTCGGTCAACTTTACCGTCCCCGCGAGAGAGGTCAGGTGACCGCGCTCTCTGCTGTTGGCGTTGTTTCAACTATCCGCCAATCGCTCACGTATGCTACCACGTCTTGGTGTTTCCGTCCGTCCAGCTGTACGTTGAAGACGACGTCGAAAAGTCGCCGACACAGGAGGAGCTAGAGGCGCTGCTCAGGGCCGCTGGGGTTGGGGCTGGTGCTTCGACAACTCGCACAGGTAAGCATCAAGACGCACTGTTTATTCGGGCATCTTGTACATCCCTTGGTATTTCGCGTGTACCTTCACGCTTGATGACTGTTTAGATTACCTATTGTATTGCGTTAGATGGCCTATTGTTACAGCGGCTTTCCGTACGTCATGGTCACGATAACACGAGGTAGAGTTCGGGTTAGGGTGAGTGTTAGGGGGGCTCAGCATGACCGGGTGCCCAGAGACGTACTGGTTCAATCGCGTTATCCAAACATCACGCAGTTGGTTCATCCGATCTGACAGTTCGGATGTGCCCTCAGCTATGTTGTATTCGTTGGCTGGCACACATTGACATTGTTCCCTCAAGGCATTTTTTTTCGTGACACAAAGCCCTCTTTCGTTGACAGCGACCTGGCTTTTTGCCTGTACACGTATTTTGATATTAGTTTAGGTGCGCTGCAGCTTTCCAGTTCAGGCGAGGAAATGCAGGCCTGATTGATTGTCTCTCTTGGGAATAAGCCGTGACCAATTGTATTCCTAATTGCGGGACCTCCTGTGCTCTTGTCTGGTGCACCAGGCGAGGTACCATCGATCCCGGGACGCGAGCTCTCAGAGCGGCAGTCACGCGACATCGGGGCCCTGCTGTCCCTCCCATCGCTCAAGCCGCTTCCCGAACACCTCTCTGCCAATCCGGAAGAGTGGTGCCGAGTGCTGGACGAAAACGACGCCGAGAACTTCCTGCCGACGAGCGGCTGGACGGCCGAAGGGGTCTCTAGAGAGAGGCAGGCGTTCTTGGCACTCGCGGTTGTGCACGCGCTCCGACCAGACCGCACCATGGCGGCCGCGGAAGATCTGGTTGGGAGTGTGTTTTCGGCCCCGGACGAGGGCGCCGAAGGCGAAGGAGACCAGGGGGAGACCGGCTTGCCGTGGAACGAGGCGCTTGATTTGGAGGCGTCTGTGAGGGAGGGGCCTGGCCCTGAAGCCCCGGTGCTGCTTTGCTCGGAGGCGGGCCACGACGCCAGCTGGAAGGTGCCCTGTCTGTGGTTGATGTTTGCTACGGGTAACGGCTTGGGCTTGGTCTGGTCTTACGTTGCGTCTGTTGTGCAGCACTATGGTTGTCGAGTTGTCCTACTACATACCTCGGTGTGCCGCTTGCTATCGAGAATTGGCATGGGACGATGCGTTTGGCTACACCACTACGGGGATGGTGAAGTGTATCTGAACGCTGTGTTTGTACTGCTCTGTCGTTGTACTGGTACGCACAGGTGGATGCGCTTTCGGGCTCCATGTCTCGGCCCATGCAGTCGGTGTCCATGGGGTCCTCGGAAGGGTTTGACATGGCCGAGAGGGCTTTACACCTGGCCTCCAAGCAAGGGTACGGGTAATAGGGCAGTAGGTCTCGGTGTTTAGCAAGTGCTTGGTGTTGTAGGTTCGTCGTTTGCATCCAGGTCGAAGGCACTCTGCATGGTGAGAGAATTTGATATATCTCTGGTGTACAGTTTTCACGTGCTTTGTTTGCGTACAGACCTTGGTGTTTGCTGCCGCACCTGCATACTGAGCGTATGCCAGAATCTACGTGCACATGCATACATTCTTTGAGTGTAGCCGTTATTCGTTCTCATCTGTTGGTTGCTCTGCCGCCACTGTGTTGACCAGGTCATGGGTGCTGCTGAGAAACACCCACTTGTGCCCGGAGTGGCTGGGAGGGTTGGAGAAGAAGCTCAGGGGTCTGGCCTTACACCCGTCCTTCAGACTCTTCCTAACATCGGAGGTGTGTTACCCTGGCAGAACCTCATGCGTTTGAATGCATCAATGTCACAGACAAAAACATCTCTCGCTGCAGGTTTTGCGCGCCAAACCTTTTTTTCTACGAACTGATTAGCTTGGCTCTATGGCATCACGTTGCGCGTGACACATGCGCTGGCTGTGTCGTTCTTGTTGACGCCCACGGGAACCCAACCCTATCATGACCATCTCTATCCACGACTTGACTCCCAGGTGCACCCATGCTTACCGCCAAGCCTGCTCAGAGCTAGCGAGGTGCTGGTGGTAGAGGCGCCGTCAGGCGTGAGAGCTAACGTCCTTCGTTTCCTGAGGGAAGTTCCCAAAGAGCGCATTGCCAAGCGTCCAGTGGAGCGGAGCAGGTGATGCTGCTGCTGCTGCTGCTGCTGCCACTGCTGTTGCTGTTGCTGCCGACGCCGCGGCGACTAATACACCGATCGGCGTTCCCAAGAGAGTATGGATGTGTGCAATCCAAGTGTCATGGTCATAAACCATTCCGCTTCACCTCACAGCTACTGTAGCGAAGAACCAAGCTTGTGGATTCTCAAGCATGACCTCGTGTCGGAGGTCCTCTCGGTGCATGCCGTTGCAGGGCGATGCTCTTGGTGCATGCTAGTCGATACCCAGTTACAGCGAGCACCATGTTGTTTCGGGGTGGTGGCACATTTTGTTCCTCCGTCCAACTCTTGCTAACCCACACATATTTGGTTCTACTCTTGATCTTGCTTCTGCAGGCTGTACGTGCTTCTAGCATGGCTGCAGGCCGTTGTGCAAGAGCGACTGCGATATGTGCCCCTTGGTTGGAGCAAGCGGTGAGCCACCGTGTTCTAGGTGTAGCCTAACCCAAAGCACGTCTCGATTGTGGTCTTGTGTGCGTTTGAAAAGTGGTGTGGGCTCGTAGGTTTGAGGGTCGGATATGAAGCTTTGGCTGTACGGGCACCCTTTCGTTGTTGAGCTGTAGTCTAGGGTGTTTTGCAGCATAGGTCGACCGGATCGAAGCGAAAGCAGAGCATGCGGGACGGCCGCCATATTCGCCCTTCCATGCACCTTGCCGTTTGTCCCTTCGGGCATGTGCACGGGTCCCCACTTTGAAATGGAACTACTGTGAGCGTTCTCGAACGCAATAGCGCCACCTACGGCTTGTTTCACCTTTTTGTTCTTTGGTTTGTCTCGTCATATTTTGTCAGGTACGAGTTCAGCGAGGCGGACGCGACCTGCGCTCTTCAGGCAATCGACAGCTGGGTCGACGGGGCCGCGCACGGTGCGCAACACATCAGCCCAGAAAAGGTATTACTCTTCAAAGGTTGGGGATTGCTGAGTTCGGGCGACACTGTAGATTCATGCTCATCGCGATCTCACGGCGTGGACAAGCCTGAAGACGAATGTTGTGCTGCAAATTTCGACCACGTTGGAAGCTCGCCGATCACGTTGCGCCTTTTGAATCGCTCCGGGGCCGCCGGCCATGGAGCGAGGTACTTGCTGCTGCAGGGAGCGCTACGGCCCGCGTGCAACACCCTGCTCACGGCAATACCTCTCTTCCCGCGCCGATGACGACCGCTTCCAGGTGCCGTGGGAAGCTCTGCGTGCTCTACTGGGTCAGAGCGTATATGGCGGGCGCGTCGACAGCGTGTTCGACCAGCAGCTGCTAGAAGGCTTTGTGGCTTCCCTTTTTCAGCCCAAGTGCTTCGACCTCAACTTCCCGTTGTGCAGGTAGATTTGCCCCCCCGTTGGCGGTGTGCCTTGAGGATGAAGGGGTGCTGGAGGGTTCGGTCGTATGCCTGCAGTAGCATCGACCCTCCACCGTGTGGTTGTATAACCATCAACCCCGTGAGTATCTTTGGCCTGTGGAAGTATCTTTGGCCTGTAGGAATATTCCACGGTTTTAGTCTATTAATAATGGGCACCTTTGTTTATGGAAGGACACGCGCTCGACGGCCAGCTCTGTTGAAGGCTGCCAAGCAGTGACTGCTCTGCCTGGTTTGCTGATTTCCGCTCGAGTTGGTTGTTGAAGGCGGCTGGCGCCGAGCAAGAGAAGGATCCGCGTAAGGAGTACCTGGTGCAATTCTCACGGGTGAATATTTTAGTACATCCACGGCTGCCTGTCCTCAGAGTGTCCTCTGTTTGGTCCGCTTGCGTTGCCTTATCTTCGTTTCTCTGCTTGAAGCGCGCACGACGGTGACACAGAGCAAGCGTCGGCGTTGGTGTCGCTGCCCGACGCGACTAGCCCGGATGCCTTCATCAAATGGGCCAGCAGCCTGCCCGCCAGCAACCCTCCCACGTGGTTGGGGCTTGCTCCTAACGCGGAGGCGGCACTGTTGGCTACCAGGGGCGAACAGCTCCTCTCGACTTGGCAGGTGACTGATGAGGTAGTTACTACGTGTGGCGTTTACTTTGTTGTTTTGGTGCTGGGTTTGTGGCTTCTGCTGTAGATCGTCTTAAAAGTTGTCGATGTGGCGGGTACTTCAGCACGATGGAAATCAAATCGACTGCACGTGATGACCAGGACACTGGGCACGATATTCGCTCGAATGTGGTGACGCCGGTCGCCTGCTACAGCAGTCGTGCCGTCCAATCCTCAACAACAAACGATTTCATCACTTGGGACGTTTGTTCACGCGATCGTTACCAGTTGATTCAGGATGACGGCAGTTGGGCTGAGGCAGCTGCGGTGGCGTTGACGACGGGAGATGAGGTGGGCACCGGTGGCAAAGAAGTGAGGCTGGAGCAGCTGCTGCAGCGGACCCAGAGGTGAGAAGAGAACACTTGGGTTTGTCGTGCTTGGCTCAAGACGCTTTGTTTTGCCGATCGATAAGGGGCGCTGGTGTAGAGGCGTGGAGGCAACGCTTTCATTCGCCTTGCAGCATCTGAGAAAACGAAGCTCACCCTTCGGATGCGTGCCGTTTGGCGCGAGTGTGTCTTTGTGGTGGTGCTGGGGCCAGTTGGAGTCAAAAGGGTTCACACGAATGGTCTATACCAGGTAGTAAAATGGGGTATTAAGGGACACCCCGTATCATGGGACACTTTTTTCAAAAACCATATGTTGCCGCTCACCCCGCGGAAAGCTGTTCTATTTTTTTGTGTTGTGTTGCTATGGAGCTCATGTTTCATTTAAGCTCAAGTTTACTCAATTTGGTGATGAACTTCGTTCTAACAACATTCGGCCCCAGATGATGTAGAATTTTGTCATTTTTCGGCCCACGTGGTGGCTGCCGCTAAGCCGCACAATCAATTTAATATGTTTTTCTCAAACAGAATTGATGATGTAGTCTGATAGTCCAGAGGCCTGCACGGCACTTTATTGTTATGAGTTCGAGCTTCTGTTCTATCGATCTATTTTGTTTCTACATGTTTTTTCGCTTTTTGTTCTTTTCCTAGCTCGATTTCGGGCGAGAAAGGGGCCAAAAATAGCGTCTGGATGTCATACAGAGACAAAACCAACTCCGATGGCACCAAAGCTTTGCATAACGTCTGTTCTAGGGTTGCTTGCCACGACACTGAACGAAAAACGAGAAAGAAAACGCTCCCAACCTCTTTGCACGACGCCTAAAGTGGGCCTAATTCGGCCCCAAAACAGGCCCAAAAAGCAAGGGGGTTCCTCGTTTTTGTCCCCGTATATTGGCGCTTTTTTTCTTTTTTTCCCAATGGCTGGGTATTACCATCACCACGGTGCGTGCCAAAGGACAAGTTTTGAAATGCAGTAGAACGTGAAAAATCACTACTAATGCAAAGTGTCCCTTAATTGGCGTCGGGGGTTTAATCCTCCGTTTCACGGTAAAACTTCAGGTACACTACAACAGCCATAACTCATCAACACTTAGGTGTTTTTTCTTTCTTTGTTTTTTGAGAGGTAGCCTATAACATAGGCTACCGCTGGATACTTTCATACACTTCAAATTCGTTCTCACCCCTCACACCCGAGAACGAGCTGTTGGCGTGGGAGAGGCTTAGGTGTCCCTTAATACCCCATTTTGCTCTACACATTATATTTTCGAGTGCACATGCCGTGGTCTACTGGCCGATTAGAGAGGTACGTCACAAGTTGTGTAACACGCTTTCCTTCCCGATAGCACCGGCAGTCACGGGTACCGTGGAAGGAATAGCCCGGGGGGGGGTTGCGACTTCACTGCGCACACATTCTCATGCACACACTTCCGCGACAGTGACATCACGATTTCAGGCGTCTCGAGCATCTACACGAACAACCATATCGAGAGGTCGTGAAGTCACAAAGGAGGGGAAAGTGTGGAGCGTCAGAGACGTTAGTGTCTGTGCTTTGATGAGGATTGATGAGGATTGATGAGGAATTCTGCTTCCTCGAACGAAAAACACATCCTTCCGGGCCACACAAGCACGTGCAGCAGGGCTGGGGGCTGATCCAGACCCACTGTCAGAATATTTCGATCATGAGGCCTATTTCTGTTCTGTTCGGTACGTAGAGGTTGCGGAGGCAGCTCAAAGCAGCTGAAAGTATCTTGGAGATACCCTGAACCTGTTCACCATGTAAGAGTCTAATAGTCTTATAATCTCCTCTGATCTCAACGAGTAGCTTCTGTGGTGTAGTGGTTAGCATTCCTCATTTGGGTTGAGGAGGTCCTGGGTTCAAATCCCAGCTGAAGCCGTTTTTCGCCCTCTCGCGGTCTTTTTCCGTAGGGGTTGGGTTTTCGTCGCTGGCAACAACGTTGCAAAACAAGATGACCTCTTCGTGAGCTCGGCAACCATGCAACCTCTTTTTTTTTCCCGGTACAGTAGGTGGCCCGGTATAAGGCCAGTTGCCCGCTAGTGCTGGTAAAATCGGCGGGCACAACTTGAAGCCAGTACAATGCCGGTATTACAGAGGCCGACCCCTCTATAATGCCCGTTCGGGCGGTTGGTGGCCCGTGAATAATGCCGGTCCTCAAGATTGCTTGCACACACAGGAAGGACTGCACACACGGCGCACCACCGCACACACATAAACACTTCGAGTCCACATACCCCTACCGCATCATGAGGGACTACTTGGACAAGATCTGATGGTAATTTTTGAGTCGATTCAGCATCAGTAGTTTTGTTTTTGTTCCGTTGAACCTGTTGTTTGGTGTTTGGGGTGAACACCAACAGCCTGACCACTGTTTGGATTCGGTGTTTTTTTTTCTTCTTGATCTGTGCGAGCCAGTATTCGCCGGTTATTATGCACCGCGTACATGGGAGTGTTCACATGTTTTATTTTCGTACTGTTTGTTGCGTTGCTTTCTTTCTCGATATTCGCGTACGATGTAGTTTAGACTACATGTCTTTTTGCGAGTGACGGGGAGGCACCAGAGGTGAATATTAAACGTCAAGGAAGAGTTCGTGCACAGACCCTGCTATGCGCAAAAAAAAAAAAAAGGTAAGGGGGTAGAACCAAAGATGCATGGAGGGATGAGCTAGCGTACGGCCCTTCGATGCACGCGCCTCTGAATTCTGCTCGATCGCGGAATGCATCCCAAACCTCCTGTCACAGCATCCACTGTCATGTTTACCCATCACCTGATGCTTGTGGCGTGCGCTACACGTTTGGATTGAATAACTCGACGGTTTCCTAATGATTCCGGTACCGGCATTATAACGGAATCCTCAGACCCTCAGTAATGCCGGAGCCGGCATAACCGGCATTATAGAGGCCGATCCTATATAGAGCCGGTCTCTCGCTATAATGCCGATGAAATCGACTGTCAAACACCCGCATTATACCGGGCCACCTACTGTAGCCATGAGTGGTGGTCGAGTAGATCATGTTGTGCGGGGTCGAGAGCCCTCGCTCCGCCCAAAGGGGATGATCGCACCACGCTGTAGTAAATTGGTCAATTACCCTAGAGGCTGTTGCACAGTGCTTACAACTGTCTCTGGAAGTGAAACAACCAGACAATAAATTAAGGCATACGCAGCTGTCATCCGTACGCAAGGAAGTAAGCACAAGATGCCGAACACCCTTAGCAGGATGCAGCGCACCCTTCATGCGACTCGCCGAATATCTCACGGCGCTTCGCGCTTGGTGATGTGAGAGCCTGGTCCGGTGAGAACCCGGCGTGCTCCGTCCCGGCTTTGTAGGGATGCGAGGTCAACGGTCTAACGACTTCGGCATGCACGACTATGAGTACCCCCCCCTCGCCCCCAAACCTGCTGCCTGGTGCACGATACCATGCCGTTCGTTGGGACAAGCGACACACTAAGAAGCCTTTCTTGTTCCTTTGACGTGTCGTCACCTGTACAGCTGGTTGTCGAGTTTGCCGACAACCATCGGCAAGGAGAGATCGGCTGGCGGCCAGGATGACTCCGAAGAAGGTGATGCGTTGCATCGCTGCCTGTGTCGCGAGGTGTCGAAAGCGTCAGCGTTGTTGTGCAGGGTTCGCGGAGATCTGGTGTCGGTGGAGAAGCTGTGCCGGGGCGAGATCAAGGCGACTAACGAGGTGTGCTAGGGTCCATGTGGTAAAGCAATATTGTACTTGCTGCTGCATTGCGCTTCCGCGAGCGCTGGCTTGTGTGGATTCCACGTTTTTGACGGGAAGCGGAGGTTGATATAGGCTTCCTGGTCGTGTGTCATACAAGCTGGTTCGCGCAAGAAACCACAAATATGTTCCCCCACTGATAATGAACGCAATTACTCACCGATCAACACATATTCTGTACCATAGTGACCACGCTTGGCCTTAAGACGGTGACATAGCTGGAAATTCCGACAACACGTTTCCACGGTGGTCAGGCGCACTAATGTGTCTCGGCCAATCAGTGGCCTTCACGCTGTTCGAGAATAAACAACTCAAAATACCAATGCAACACGAACCTTCTTCGGCCTGAGTTCAACCTCAAGAGACCTTCGAGCTCTAGGGAATCCAGCAACAAAATACAGAAGTGAAAACGGCCACCGTTGGAGCGAGTTACGCCCAAAAAGTTGGGATTTCGGTGTTGTGGCCCTTTGGCGTCGTCAGATGGCCACCGTTTGTACGTATCAACCGCCCAGAAAGCATCGAAACGGTTTCCGTCGCATATATCTGAGGAAAGCTTGGATCGTCCCCAAATTTGGCAGCTTGACAGGTATTGACGCTTCGAATCCGAAAAAATATTCTTGAGCACTATTTACGATTTTTCCCGCTCCTACCGCCCCCCCCCCGGTGTTTGCCATCGGGGTTGGGTTTTCGTAGCTTGGCAACGACGTTGTAAAGCAAGCCGCCCCCCCCCGGTGTTTACCATCGGGGTTGGGCTTTCGCCGCTTGGCAACGAGGTTGTAAAACAACCCCCCCCGAGGTGGTAACCATAATGGTGGTCGAGTAGATCATATTGTGCGGGGTCGAGAACCCTCACTCCGCGCAAGGGGGATGATCGCACCACGTTGTGTTAAAATGGTCACGCACCCTCGAGGCAGTTACACAGTGCTTACAACTGTCTCAGGAAGTGAAATATATTAAGTCATACGCAGCTGTCATCCGTACGCAAGGAAGTAAGCACAAGATGCCGAACACCCTTAGCAGGATGCAGCGCACCCTTCATGCGACTCGCCGAATATCTCACGGCGCTTCGCGCTTGGTGATGTGAGAGCCTGGTCCGGTGAGAACCCGGCGTGCTCCGTCCCGGCTTTGTAGGGATGCGAGGTCAATGGTCTAACGACTATGGCATGCACGACTATGAGTACCCCCCACTACCGGCTTATCGGGGTCTAACGGATAGGACCCCCGGAAGCTGGTTTATATGTCTCAATTAAAACAAGTCGAATTCGGTCGGCTCCGGTGTAGGGTGTTGAAGGATTGTACAAAGTTTCTTTGCTTACNCGAGGTCAATGGTCTAACGACTATGGCATGCACGACTATGAGTACCCCCCACTACCGGCTTATCGGGGTCTAACGGATAGGACCCCCGGAAGCTGGTTTATATGTCTCAATTAAAACAAGTCGAATTCGGTCGGCTCCGGTGTAGGGTGTTGAAGGATTGTACAAAGTTTCTTTGCTTACGGGGAAAAACTGAGGTGGAGCGGTCGATTCAAGCGTAAAGTTGTGCCCAAGAAGCTGATTCTTGGCTTAAATCAAAGTAAATAATAGGTTCGCAGAGGAATTTTCAGGTTCTTATTGCAAAAATCAAATTCTTCGTAGAGGGTTTTGGAGATAGGTCTCCAAATTTTGCAGACTTGTCCGCAAGCCGAATCTTTTCACGAGTGGGGGTCTTCGATTTTTTTTTTCGCCGAATATTCAGGGTCCAGCGCAGCCTTTCTGTCCTATGGACGTGCAGGACCCCGATTATTCGGCAAATACAAAAAAAAATCGAAAAACCCCACTCGTGAAAAGTTTGGTATCGACGTTGCGGACAAGTGTGCAACATTTGGTGACCTATCTCCAAAAAACCGAACGAAGGATTTGCGGGGAACGAATTTGTTTTTCATGCGTGATCCAGCTTGTATATAGTTCCCCAATCGTGTCCTCCGTGCCACATGTGTTGGGGAGGTGCGGGTGCCTTGCCCCGCTGTCCCTCCTGAATTAGCTGAGTTGCACATGAAAATTTATCATGTTGTATAACTCCCGTCTACTCACAAATACCCGCGTTGCGACTGTTTATGTTCATGTTGTACCGCCATCCGCAACGATCTTTTCCACCTTCAGGTGCGCGCGCTCGTGGGCGCGTTGGCGAAGGACGTTGTCCCGGCAACCTGGAAGGCTGGTCTCGTGCAGGCTGACATGGGTGTCGCCGGGTGGGTGGACGATCTCACCAAGCGCCTCGACCACCTCGCCAGCGTCTCCAAGGCCGGGCCCAAGACTGGTCCCAGCGCCACGCCGTACTGGCTGGGGGGACTGTTCAGCCCGGATGCGTTCGTGACGGCCAGTCGGCAGCATGTGGCGGGGGCGCTTTCGTGCTCTCTGGATGAGCTGGCTCTGTCCCTTGTGGTGGGCCCTCAAGAGGAGACAAGTGCTGACGAAGGTGACTGCAGTCTCTGACTATTTGCTCCTTGTTTTCGCTTGTTGTTGAGCACGTCAATCTTTCGAATCCTATTTTTTTTTGTATCGATGTGCGTCCTTGACGTCCTTACTCTCAAGAGGAATAGAGGGAAGGCAGGCTTGATATGGGATCACCTCATGGTGAGTACCGCGCGGCTTCACAGGCGCGGTGATATAGAAGTCTCACGCACACGCACCCCTGACATACTGGCGACTGGCGTTGCTCACGTTTTGCGATTGGATGGTCCTACGGCGTGCCTTCTTCTCGGGACAGCCTTGAAGTCTGGCGACGGGATCTATTTCGCATGTTAACCCTGTTTTCGTGTGTGTGTTTCCGTGTCCAACATTGTTCTCTGTTTTGTTTGTTTTTTTGATAGAAAGGGCATGTTCTGGGTAACGTTTGTGTCGCATCCTACTTGGGTATGTCTGTGACGACGGAAGTGCCCTATACGCCATTTGGACTATCGCTGAATAGGACGTGCTGGACAGCGTCAAAGTGATCGTATCTTTTGGAGGCAGCAACAAAACAGCACAGGATGGCGGGTGGACCCGCGGTCGTTTTCTGCTGTTTAGTTTTTTCGATAATTTATAATTTCCTTCAGCGATTCTGTGCGAGCAGGAGAGGTTTGGGTTGGGCGGATTCGGAAGTGGATGCCACCACAGCAATATGCAGTAGAAGGAAAGGCTGGCCAGATTAATTATTCAACGCACCACCTAGGCACTCAGGCCAACCCCCGCGCTCCCTCCTGCGGCGTTTTCTTTTCCCGTGCCCTTGTCAGGCTCATCAATGGCGTTCCCGATCATCGGACTTGTGCTGGAAGGGGCCGGCTGGAGCGAAGCGGCCAAGACTCTAGCCTTCTCCAAGGACCACCGCAAGGCCCTGGCTCTTTGCCGCCTTTGCTGGACTAGACGCCCTGATGGTGCAGCAGAGGGCCCTGGAGGGGACGAGTCCTTGCCTGGGGTGGCGGTACCGGTGTACTTGCACGCTCGGCGCAGTGACCTCATCGTGACAGTGGCGCTCCCCGTGCCGGAGGATGTGCCCCCCCTCGTGTGGCGACAGAGAGGAGTCGCGCTCCTGGCGTGGGGTCCTCCTGTGTAGCTCTGTGACTGGCAGAAGTAGTAGGTGTAATACGAGGTTGTACGCCCTTGTAGTACCAAAGGACGGCGTAGCATCGAGTCCAAGTTTTCGAGTGGATCAAGAAAAATATGGGGTTTCGGGTGTTCTTGTGCCGTCCGGAAAATTAAATCCACCACTAGACGTGCTGATTATTGTTAGGGGACGCTCAATCACACTTGAGAGGGCTCCCTCCATGTCGCGCGGCATACATGTTTCGTGTTTGACCTGGTCGTGCGGTACTTGCGTGTCGAGTAGTGCTCCTCAAGTCTCAAGAGGCCGGGAAGGATGTTTCACGGGGATTGTTTTAGTCACAGCCGGTTTTCGGCTTTGGGCGTGGTTCCCAAACTTTTTTTCTCTAGCTGTTCACGGCCAGACCTTGAATACGCACGTGGTCGTCTTTGGGGCACGACGGCCGAGTCTTGAACCGGGTTGAATGCGGCGTAGTTCCACCCCCAATAAGTCTGACGTGATCGCACATCGAGGGTGCTGAGTCATGTATTGAAAGCAGAAAATAGGCTCTGAGCATGAAGTGACGCTGCAATTGTTCCATTCACAGCAAGATTGAAGGCAAGAGTTCGGTCACTCAACATGGCTGACAGTTCGGTTGGCAACTCGCACAACACCGCTGGCCCTCCAGCCTGGGTTGTGGGCTCGAAGCTCTCTAGAGGGAGAACTATCGGCATCGTGACCACAAGTACACACGACAAAGAAGGTGTCTGCTACACCCTTCTCGTGTGATGTTGTGATATTGTGATATTGTGATGTTGTGAGGGCAAGCACAGCAAGGGGCAGGTGGGGATTTCCTCCTGATTTCACTGAACACCCAAAACAGATGGGACGACATCCACCCGCGCGTATGTCTTTGGCCAGCTGCTTGCCGAACCCGGTATTCTCTTGTATTCTACAGGTTGGTTTAGTTTCGCCAGCCTCGAATATTTTCGGTTAACACAGGTAAAGTACTCTCCCTTGTCCCGCCTGGGTTGTCGCTGATTCATGTCCCCGACGCGTGTTGGCCCCCTGTCGTTCAGGTACTTCTGACCGCGACAGATCGGAAAGGGGGTGTCCCCACGGCCGTGCCTGCCATCAGTACATGTATGGTCCAAGATATCAGCCATCAATACTTGACTCCTCACCCCAACTACCACCATCACCCTGGTTAGCTAGCGCGTCCTATCGTCTTACATCGCGACCCATGCCCAGCTCGTCTACACGACGTCGTCCTAACCCCTCCCCACAAATCACGGTCATCCAAGTCCTCATGGTAGTCACTTCCTCTGTTGATTCGTCCACTTCTGGCTCCTAGTGGACCGCCCGCCGATCCCAAAGGAGTTGTTGCCGCTCACAGGGCAACCTCTTCCGTGAGATCCGTTCCCCAAGTCGCTGTTGTTGTAACCGGAACGGGATGACGATGAGCTGACGGTGCGGGCACCTCCTCCATCTCCCATGGAGGTAGAACAGCGACGGTCGGTGTGTTCGTGGGACTTGTAGTCGACGCGACTCCCCTGGCCCCCCCGCATCCAACCCCCATCACCGCGAGCTTCGTTTTCATCACTGGTGGGTAGGTTGGCGTGTTTCTCGCGCTCTTGACACCTGAAGCGTGCCCGTACCTGTTCATCGAGAGCCGATAGCGGAGAATGGGGGAGTCCATGCGAATTCCCGCGAAAGTACTGTTGATACATGTGTTGTGCAAAACATCAAGTCTGCCAAAAATACCAGCTTGTTTTCGAAGCGTTCTAATGTTGTCATGCTACATACCCTGTATCAGGAAGTACTCGGCCGTGTGCATGGGAGCCAGGACTCTTCTTTTCGTCGCCTCTGTTTTCTACCTTACACATGGGACATGGTTTGATCAGACTGACCTCGTGAGGTCTGTAGTTGGTAACACTGTTTTGTGCTTGAATCGACGCTGAACAGTTCAGGACAACATCAAGAGGAAAATAATGTCAGGATGATGGATCCTTTTTCTCTCTCTCTGTTGTGTCATGCCATCCATAACGGTCGTACTGGGAGCTGGTGGCGCCCAACCCTAAAAATAGCTCGACGCGCGACTCGCCTCTTCAATGGCCTTCATCTCCAGCTGGCGGTTAGCCTCAGCTATCATTTTGGCCGTCTTGCGCGTTTGAGCGTCCACATCTTCCCTGTGACGAACGGAAAAGGACGACACGTGTGACCCACATCTTGGTACCAGGTTTGAAGTCAAACTCACCCCGTTAACCGAGGTTGACCCACATCCGATTTATCTCCAGATTTTCGGACAGTACGGCCATGTGAACAATCAATGCTTACAAATTCTAGACGTTTCGTCGACGCGAACGGCACTGGCCCAGAGTTGGGACTGGAATGTAAAGGTCTGATCTTCTTGGAGGCAGAACAATCGTACAATCGTTGGTACAGATTTTGCGATAATATTCCCTTGTCTCCGGGAAAGCCGGTAGACTATGGCAACATTACCTTGCGCTTGTTTCCGAACGCGCACGTTATCTGTAGATGGGTCCTCTACCGCGGTGTCACGGTCGTCTTCCTCCTCCTCCTCTTCCGACATGTAAGACGCCGGCGATACGATAGGTATTGGTCGGCATCTTTGCCGGCCAAAACCGGGCGTTTGATATTCGATGACGATGGGCCAGACCCGAAGATAGAAACGCCCATGTCGTCGGCGATCGTGCGGCGTAGCTCCTTGAAGCATTCTCTGCCGGACATTGACACGCTAAGCCCAGCAGAAGTCACACCATCGCCGAAGGACGTCATCACGCCGGATGTGGCGACTGAGTTGATGTCAGGGTGGATTCCACGCGATATTACACACCACGCAGAATCTGACCGTTCGTTCATCCTTACGCTTTGGGGATGGGAAGCGTTGTGTGTCAGACACGCCATCGTTTGTAACCGTAGATATGTTGACTACAAAATTCCATGCATGGGTATCGGGCGTCACCCCCAACCCAACGGTAGACACATCTCATGGTTGGGACCGACAAGAAAGACGCCCCCTCTGTTCAGAAGAAAACTGAAAATTGTTACATGAATGTTGCCCCCACGCAATTACATGCGTTCCGCCGGTCTTCTCACCGTTCCGCGTTCACCTTGTCAGTTAGCCATCCACGGTATCAAGCTCAGAAGCACAGGTAGAGACAAAAGCTCACCAGTCTGTTGGAAAACGTTTGGCGTGGTTCCTTGGCTAGTCGCACCAAATACACCGCCTTCGGCGGTCCAGCATGCCCTCGAACATGCTCCCTTCAGTCCTGCATCATGGATCACATTCAATTCAAGGCAGGCGAGCATTGGACTACAGTAAGAATCTCCCTAGGGTCACACGGTAGAAACGTACTTCATGCGCCCGTTGAAATTTCTGAGATCGTAGAGCGCGGCGGGCTTTGCAGACGGGCGAATTGGGTGCTTTTCAAGCGTCACTCGGTGAGGGAGAAATCCGTCGTTCAAGAAAGGGGGTGTTGCACCAGGTCGAAACAAGACGTTTCGTGGTGACGAGCCGACGGTCTTCAGAAGGTGGAACCGCACTCTAAAACAGCCATGCGAATAGACTTTCAGTGTCCCCGAGGTCCTGACCTCGGAAAAGCGGGCGTCGTTCCATACCCTTGCCTCCATATTGCCAAAATAATGTCATGCAGGAATACGACACGAGAATCTCCTCGTAGATCACGTCATCCCCTTGCTAACGCTCGTTTTTCTTCACAAGAGCAGTGCATCGATGGTATCGTCATAGCCCTTACAGAATGGTCGGCAGATGCTTGAGTGCCAACGCGCGGTGCTTGATCTTGATCAGGAAGGGAGAGGGGAAGCCCCACCCATTTGAATTTGACGCTCAACTGGGTAGAATCGTCACGTTTCGAAAGCGAGCTCTGACCACCAGGGTTTCGCATGTAACAACGTAAACAGAAGAAATGGTGGTTCGTGTTCTCCAGGCGAGGTCGCGAACCAAGGTAACAATGATGGAGATGGAGGAAGCAGGTATGGGACAGCAGCAAAATATCCGGCGAGAACCTACCACCCTTGGGGCCGGGTTCCCGAGCGACGACGATCACGTACCGGAATAATCGAATGTTACCCGGGGGTTTCGACTTGCATCGTTATGGAGATAGCCCGGGCAAGGGAAAGGGTCATTTTATGCAAGCGGTGCTTCGACTGGCCGATTGCGCAATATTATCGTTCGTGTTTTCACCAACAGAACAGCATAGTCTAGATCAACAATCGTGTGTCCGAATGACCTAATATTTTTCACTACTACGGAGAGTTCTTGTTTCCTCGTTTTGTACTTCTTGCATCGTAATCCCGCATCCATGTCGCCCTAGCAAAACCTGCTCTCCTCACATTTTATCATCAATCAATACAAATAACAGTGCAAGGTGGTGACGCCATAACCGCCGGGGTACTTGCCATCTTGTGGAATTGACTTACGAACTAATCCACCTCGCTCTGCTTTGCTCACCGGTACTGGTCCTCTCCATATCGGTTGACGGCGCCAGCTCTGTAGAGCAAGGTGAGGCACCCTGTGACGTAGCTCGACTTTATTGCGAGGGCATTCGCCACTTTGTCGATGTCAAATGAAGCCGATGAAGCAGTCTGGATCCTCTCCAAAGTGAGAAAGCAGCCACGCGCTCGTTTTCTCGTAAGGCTGCCCCCCCCCCGATTTGGACAAAGCGAACATTCGCGAAATGGGCAATGCCAACCTTGGTCGATCCACGTTACTACTGCTGTACACATGTACACCTGAGGAGTTTTCCGGGAAGTGCAACATGGGAATCACTTATCCTGCGCAGTTTCTATATTAATGCTGTAGCTGTGGTGTGCACATGCCACCCGCACATTCACGCTTATCCACATCCCTTTCGTTTTCGGTGAGTGCCGCCATACTGAACAATCGACCGGAGCATCGGCGATGAAGGTCACTCACGTGCTCCTGGCGCGCCGGACTTTCTTTCTTACCACCACCGACTGTCCTCGCTTTAGCACCTGCCTCAGGCTGGCGCGAGGCCAAACCGCTGGGGCGGCGTTTCCTCCTATGTGTTCGAGACGTAAGGAATTCGCAAGTTTTATTGCGGACGGGACGACACAACTGATGTCAGACGCGCCATACATTGCATCGTTTCGAACCACCAGTGGATACACCAATTGGCTTCCTCACGTAGCTTTGCCACAGAAACATTCCCTCTTGCCACTACTTCTCCCTTCTTCCCCTCGCTCCTCGACAAGCTTTTGCTTAGACATGGGTTGTAGTGAAGGGGGGGGTCTTTCTGGCGAGCAGGGCTAGATTCACCCTCAAGGGATGACCGAAACCTTCTTGCTGCTGCGCATATCCGCCGCGAGGCATGCGCGTGGTGGTGTAGTTGGGTCGGCACTGATGGGGTCAGGCGAAAAAATGTAGATGCGCGGGCCTCTGGCCGTCGGCGTAGGCAG